ATTCCTACAACTGAATGAAAATCCCCAAAATAGAAATAACTACTTAAACATCACATTGGATACATTTTTCTGCCTCTAGATGGCTTAAACAACTGCTCTCAGTTGTGCTATCTTAACAAAAGATTAAGGTCAGAGCTTTACAATATATGACAAAAAAACATACAAAGTAATAAAGTGAAATGATTAGATACATATATCCTCACTAATTTCTTAGGCTACAAATTATTTGGGGCAAGACTACAAGAAACAAGGTTTGCAAGTAACATAAGGGCTTCCAAAAATAAAGTGTTGGTAATAAAAAGAAGACAATATTAAATTAACAATGCAAAGAAATATAAGGAAAGTACAAGTAAAGGCTGCATTCACTTGAGATACAAAAAAAAAGTGAGATTAATGTGCAAGAAACAGTGAGCAAATTTAAATAACTTGCAACTTAAATAATTTCTCAGTATAACAAATAAACACAAATAAAAAACAGTACAAATCAATGGTTTCTAAAGCAGAACTTGCACACACTATGTTTATTGTAGCAGTTTTACTATTTGAAAGCTGTGATAATCACTTGCATGGGTTTTGCTAGAGCTAATAGAACTAATCTGCTACATGCATTTTATATATTTAGCAGAATTTCTTCCAAAAAGGATCACAGACATACTGTTAAGGGTTTTTAGCTAACATGCTCAAGTATTACATTGGCATGATATAAATGACAACTGCAGAAATACTCATGTCTTATTTCAGATAAATATATGACAAGAAGTCTTTGTTAAAGCCTAAATAAGACATTCCTACTGCCTTTCTTTATAAAAATACATTCTTGGGAGATTTTTCTACCCAAATCATCCTTCAGCCACATTCACAGAGATGTATTATCAGCTGAGACAATGAGTACATGCTGATTTTCCAAATTTCACATTTCTCAGAAACATCTGAAATGCACTAAAATGCTAAAAGAAGAAAACAAAACAAAAAAAAACACACACACACCCCTAAATCCAAGAGTATGGTAGCACTGCTACAGGAAACATTACCTAAAGTTTAAGGTAGCAGAAGTTAAATTATACTAAGTTAGAATATAGACTTAAGTTATTAATTTATTTTTTTTTCTCAAGATGTATTTCTTGGCTATATGAAAGTGTCAGCCAATGTGATACAGTTGTTTCAACATGGAAGCAAGAAGTAGATTTTTTTTAGATTTTAAAAACAAGCAACAGTGAGATTTTTAAAAGTAAGATCAGTCACAACACGTTAACACCAAAGGTTCATCCATCACAACACCCCATCTCCAATGGTGTCTGAAAACAAGTATCGACGGAAACATGTAAGACACTGGTATTTCTCCACAGCACTTCTCAGCCTTTATCTATCTGTGATTAAAGCACTCTTTGGCAGATCTGGTGCCTATGTTCCTGAAGTCATGTCCTTCTGTTACATAGACAAATATATAAAACTGTTTATGCACTTCTTAAAACTGTTACTTCTCCTGGGAACTTTTTAAGTCGTAGCTATATATAAAGATGTGTGAATCTTTAAATGATTCATTTCATTTCTATGTATAACACTAACTAGGTAATTAGACACTTCTGCTATACAATAGACTGAACTGTTACTATGGGATGTGAAAAGGTAGAGAATGAGGGTGGAGAGGTAATAATCTTGTGCTCTTTTAAGTGATGTCATCAAGTCCTGGATAATCCCTCTTCTTCTCAGTCATTTTGTGTTCAGGAAAAGTACTACAGCATTACCACTGTATATTGTGCCTACGTATTGTCAATATTTCTAAAATTACATGAGAACTTAGTGATAATAGCCTCAGCCTTCCTGTCTCAAGACCCTGTGACTAATCTTCTTCCTTCCACTACAAACAAAATATTCTCCCATCACCTTCACATCCTTCTTTCCCAGGCTTTCTGCAAAACTCATCGGCTGCCCCAGCTAGGGGAGAGACAACATCCCTTATCAAGGCTAGTTCTGAGCGAGCAACCTATGCAAGTACAATGAGTATCTAGTTGGCACTCCAAACACAACAGCTACCTGTGGGGCTTACTCTGCAGCCCTTCCTCAGCAGCAGTGCTAATCTGGGTCACCATTTTATTTAAGTAATCAAGAAATGAGCTTTATAAAAGTCATGGAATTCTCCACAGTGGAGACTTTTCTCCCTCTGTAAAATGCTGATGAAGCAAGTCCTCAGCTTGAAAAGTTATTGGAAGGAGAAGACAGATGTGGTAACATGCATCTTCTGCAACCTTACACTTAAAAATGGAGCAAGGCAATTTATATGTAGAAGTCCACATTTTGAAGACAGTATAAGCTTCAGAAGCCTCTGTATTTTCATTTTCCATACAGAGGCCTTGCATGCCTCTAACTTCTGAAAACAAGAGGGAAGAAAGGGGAGAAAGGAGAGAAAGGGGACACAAGAGACAATATTTCAGTTGGAAGGAACCTACGACAATCATCTAGTCCAACTGCCTGGCCACTTCAGGATTGACCAAAAGTTAAAGCATGTTATTAAGGGCATTACCCAAACACGTCTTAAACACCAACAGGCTTGGGACATTCACCACCTCCTGAGGAAGCCTGTTTCAGTGTTTGACTACCCTCTAAGAAAGGTTTCCTAATGTGAAGTCTGAACCTCCCTTGACAAAGCTTTGACCCATTCCCATGCACCCTATCATTGGATACCAGGGAGAAGAGCTTGGCACCTCCCTCTCCACTTCGCCTCTTCAGGAAGCTGTAGAGAGCAATGAGGTCACCCCCCAGCCTCCTTTTGTCCAAACTAGACAAACCCAAAGTCCTGAGCTGCTCCTCATAGGACATTCCTTCCAGCCCTTTCACCAGCTTTGCTGCCCTCCTCTGGAAGCATTCAAGGACCTTCACATCCTGCTTAAACTGTGGGGCTCAGAACTGCACGCAGTACTCAAGGTGAGGCCACACCAACACTGAATACAGGATCACAGAATGGTAGGGGTTGGAAGGGACCTCTGGAGATCATCTAGTCCAAATCTCCTGCTAAAGCAGGTTCACCTACAGCAGGTTGGACAGGATCACATCCAGGCAGGTTTTGAATATCTCCAGAGAAGGAGACTCCACAACCTCTGCAGCGGCATAATCATGTCTTTTGAACAACTGGTTATGCTGTGTTTGATGCACCCCAGGATGTGGTTTGCCCTCTTGGCTGCCAGGGCACACTGCTGACTCCTGTTGAGCCTGCTGTTGACCAGCACCCCAAATCCCTTTCTGCAGGGCTACTCTCCAGCCACTCCTCTCCCAATCTATCCTTGTGCCCAGCATTACTCCATCCCAGGTGTAGAATCCAGCATTTGGACTTGTTAAATTTTCAAATGTTAAATAAATCATTGGTGATTGCCCAATGCTCCAATCTATCTAGATCCCTCTGCAAGGCCTCTCGTCCCTCAAGAGTGACAACAGCACCTCCCAGTTTGGTATCATCAGCAAAACTTGCTGAAGGTGCATTGAACTCCTGGATCCAAGATCATTGATAAAAATATTGAACAGAATCAACCCTAGAACTGAACCCTGAGGAACAGCACCAGTGGCTGGTCACCAGCCAGATGTAGCCCCACTCACCACAACCATCTGAGCACTGGGCCTCAGCCAGGTCTTCACCCAGCGCCCCGTGATTACGTTAGTTATTCAGGACAAGTACATGTGTCTGCCTTTGCTCTAGCCAAATTTAGCTGCACGTTAAGTACACTGAAGTGAGATAGTATGTTAAATTTATTTTGTAAATGTCACAATTAGATATCTATTCTGCAAACTATTGTAATTATATAATCCACTACAACAAGCAGGATGCAAAAGTCAATTTTATTTCTAACAAAGTTACTAACTCGCAAACATTTCTGTTCTTCACACAGCAGAAACAAATTTCATTTGGTTGCTTGCAGCCATTGAAAGTAAGTAATGAAGAACAATAAATTGTGCCCATTGCGATATTTCAACTACAGATGTTAATAGGCATAATGAATTTCTTGAAAGTTGCTTTCTAGTCTAAACAAGTTGAAAAATAGACTACTAAACTCTGCGCATTATATACAATTGATACAAGACTGGAATAGAAGATGCATTGACTAAAGTAGCCAATTCTTCCTACTTATTAAGTAATCGTGAGTAGAGGCTATTTTGCTGATAAAGGTAATTTGGACAGCCATAATCTAAATTTAAATTTTCCATTTCAATGAAAATAAGTACGTGTGTGCAATGAACAAGCAAGATATATAATTACTGTCAGCTTTCAGACTTCAAGTATTTCATAAAAAATACTTCTACTTCAGTTTCTGATAGTAAAATTATTTTACAGTTTAAAAAAAAAGATAATTATTTTGTCAAAATTCAAAAGAAAGGAGGATGACATTTAATAGGTTTCACAATACTTTCAATAAATCTATATATAAAGTTTTGGTGAAGCAAGTCTTCTGATTAAAGAATAAAATAAATTATCTAGATGCATTCCAAAGTAGCATACCACCAAAAATGTTTTTTGTACATAAAAAGCATTTATAACTATTTATAATTTAATAAATGCACTTATTGGAGTTATTAGTTTGAATGATCACATTTAGCTGCTTTAAACAGACACTTCTTATGGCAGGACCTATACATATAAAATATATATTGTTAATGTTTAACGTCAGCTTCTCATGCTGTTTTACTGATTTCAGAATTAGTAACGTGTGACTACAGAATCACAAACTAAAGCCACAGGTAAGAACAGAAATAACTGAATGCATTACTTAACTGCTGTCCTGACTGGGGGATACTGTCAGAATGAGTGCCTAGGAAAGCTGATGTATATATAAGAGGAATCACAAAATAACAGTAAAATTACGCATTAACTGCCAAATTCCAGTGGCACAG